GCCTGCGTCGACAACGAGCGTCGCCTTCTCGCCGCCCTCCAAAGGACCAACGGGGCTGACGGCCCTGTTCCGGCGACGTCCTTGCAAAATGGGCACCACTTCGTCGGCCAGCGTCCTCTCCACGTCTACCACGAGTACTCTGATACCGCAGGAGAATAACAGAGGCAGTACCTCAGGCGCCTCCACGCCCACAGAAGAGAAGATGCCAATGTTGCCCAGAAATGGAACTGGTCAATGCGGAAACGGCGCTCATGGTGGTCCTGGTAATCAGAGAAGGAGTTTCAGAAATTTGTTCAGATCTGTTAGTGCCAATGCAGATCACGAAAGAACACAGCAGTTCCTGAAGGGTGATCCAAGACCTTCGGATGTTGCGCCACCCTCGCCGTATCTACCTCATAGGTTGGTGACTTTTTCTTCCTCTTTTTTTTTTTTTTTTGATGATATCAAACAGAAGTTTGAACTGTGCGTATTTAAATTCTTAACAGTTTAATGAAAATATAAAATGAACGAGCCGGAAGATAATTATTCTTACATTTCTGATATCAGATATAAAAATATATACTTCCTCGACTTTTTATAGCGACAATTACGTTATATCTGTGTGATGAGATTTAAGATGTGAAAATAAATAGTATTATTTGTTTGACAGCTTACCTGAGTCTTTCTCGTGATGCACTGTAAGAGGGTTAGAATTTCGAGTTTATGGAAGTTTTGTGAATTTTAAGTTAGCTGGGATTTCTTGTTCTTGTTGAAGACAAGAAATAAAATAAAATTTTTGCAAGGGATAAGAATACAAAATGCTACTTAACGTACTGTTCTCCACAGGTCACACTCGCATTCTGAGAACGACAGAAGACGTCCAGGCCGAAGCAGAGCTGTGTTGAAGTCCGCTAGCGAACTGCTGTCGAATGATATGGTGTACTGTGGATTGGCCAGAGATAATCACAATCATGATGATGACGACGACGATGACGATGACGATGATCAAGATTCGAACGAAGTTTTCGTTGGTGTCGATGACGCTAGGTCAGTAGTAAAATCAAGTGAGAATAATATAAATACAATAGAAATGTACATAAACACCCATAGTCTATTAATTAATACTAATGTAACGAACTGTCACTAAGTTGTTAAAATTATTTTAGGTACTACAACCTTTCATCCACGCTGCCAGCAACAGGATCAGCGGCAGCAGGTCGTAGAAGGCATTCGATCAGCACCTTCATAGGCAAAGATCGAGGTTCCTCGAGCAAAGACCACATCTCCAGAAAGCAACCACAAAGCCCCACAATTCTCGTAGAACCTGACACAATGGCGCCGCCAGCGCCTGTAGATACTGTAGATGGTGTCCATGTAGAGGACCGGAAGGCGAGATCTTGCAGCAGGTCCAGGCGCAGAAGACATCGCAGTTCTTCGAGCAGGGGTGAGTAGAAGTAAAACTAGCCAACAGCGATTGAGATTTTAACATTTTACTTAATGGAATTATATTAATACAGATGGGTTATTGATTACGAAAGACTATGAAACTATAACCAGATTACAAATAGATTTTGAAAGTGACTTCTCGAGTATGAATCACTTGGAATGAAAATGTCGAATATAACAGGATCCACAAAGGGCTAATGTATCAAGCAACGAAGACGAATTAACTCGTTCGAAATGTATGAAATTGAATGTCCTGCTGAATTTTAAAACCTTTCTTCTGTAAAAGGAAAAAGAAAAGAACAATGGGAAGTATAATGTATTGTATTTTCCACTGTAATCTTCAAATATTAAGACTACGAGTAGAATGAGTTAATTCGTCCTTTATTTTCCAATAATACTCAGCGAGGGAGCGACTTCGAAGAAGAATCGAGTCTATAAAAGCATCTCAAGAACTACATACCATACATACCATAATACCGTAGGATATTATTTCATGTCAAAAGTCCCGTCTACTTATTACTATTTCGATTTGACCACATTGATATATTAATGAATGGGTCAACGAGACTCAATTGGCCGATCAAGAGATCTTAGAATCGCGTGGACAGATCGAAACGAAGGGATGAATGTCGCGTTTGATTCTCATAGGCGAATATTCGCCGATTTCATTCTTTCCTCCTTGTCGATCAATCGCGGCGTGGCGATTATGGTCGGCACTCGAATGAAAAAGACCCGTAGTTCGTTCCCACGGGCCAGATTTCGCTTTGCACGCGCCCGCATGCTCGTTCGAATCACGTACAAAAGCCTCGTTACGAATTCGAACCGGTCCCGATCGTTCAACGACGATTCGCGCGGTGAAACCCATTGATTTTTTTAATCGAGTTTACCAGTTAAGTCCATATAGTTTGGGAAGAAATGCTGTAGGTGTGTGATAAAGAAATAATTTGGATCTCGATTAGTCTTTGTTAGAGAAGGGTTGTTGCATATTAAAATTTGATTATATTATTGTATTATAGTATTTAAACTAGGTTTGCATTAATATGGCAGGTAATTACACAATGATATATTATCGTTAGATTCTTCTGATCGGATAGAAACATTTGTAACAGTTTGTACAAGTTTTAAAACTCTCATCATAGAATATTGTTAAAAAGTAATACTTTGTGAATCAAAAAGGGTTTCATTTAAAATACATTTTCTATTGTGCTCTTGCTCAAACTCCAAATAAGTTGAAATTTCTGTGTGATCGTTATCAGGAATAATTCAGTGTTTGATTATTTCTTTTTCGAGAAGAAAAGTTGATGTATCTAAGAAGTGTCTTTTTATATTATGGCACACCATGATTAGGTAGTACATAGGTGGATAGGCAATTCAGGTTTGAAACGAAATTTTCATTCGATTATTTTCCTCCAGTGAAAGTAAGTAATGGTACTAGATGATTAGGAAGTAGATAATACTGACATGAATCGACTGCAAAGAAATATTAAATATCGATCGAAAAACTATCCCTTTCGTGATTATACTCTTTTCTTTAAAGTTCCATACTTTATGCATACTTATTTTGGGTTGTAATCATTGAAACATCCAAAAGTATCCCGAAAATCAATCAATCGAAATTTTTGCGAACAACAAACCCGAAAAGTGCAATTCTCATGGAAGCCAGGTTCCTCTTGGAATTCCAATTAGGAATCGCGGTCTTAAAGGAAATCCGGTGATCTTTGATCGGCTCGAAGAGATAATCTTCGGCTGTGGACGGACGTGTGTAGACGACACCCGGTCCCCGGAAGCCCAGTACTCTTAGTATTCGTCGAACGAGTCGCGTTTTCCGATCTGTGCTCGATCGAGACACCCGAACCCAAAACGCGGCAGATAGATTGTAAAATTTACGGCCATACGTGATCCATCGATCGTGGCGATTCCACATGATCCGACCGCGAGTCTCAGAACTTATGTCGTCCACGTGTCTCACGTGTTCCATTGTTGTTGCTTAATTAGCTACGGGACTTTCCGGTTCAGGCAATGCACATGGATTGGAAGCGTGTATGAGCTCCAAGGGGAATGCTGATTATATAAATATCTGTTCGAATGCAGAGATTGATAGGAAATCGATATGTGATTTGATTACGAGACGTAGAAAGTAAAAATTATTTCACGCTTAAATGCTATCATGAGCAGAATTTCACTCCACGTGAATTTTGTTTCAGTATTAACATTCTGTAACCATACCTATCATGCTAATATTATGTAATAATGCATTAGCCACTGCAAACAATGATTTAATCTACTATAATCCATATCTTCTATAAATTTTATATCTTCAAATATTAAATAATAATGAAGCATTTAGTTCTTATAATAATGACTTTCACTCGTGATCGTCTTTCTGATTTAATTTTGTACAATTAGGTATCGAAGGTAATCTCAGTTCTAGAACATTTATTGGAATTGAACGCAGAGAGGTTTTTATGGATGTATAGAAAAGTAATGAAGGATTTTGTAGATCTAGGATTAGTTGGGAAATTTAATTTCAAAATTATAAGAATTTTCTTAGATACGTAGAGTAATTAAAGATTTTACAAAATTGAATTATTATAATTTTGTATTTATATTTGGCGTTAAAAGGATCTTGGTTACGAGTGACTTTTAACATGTAAAATAGATTTCTTTTGATACTCTTTATTAGAATAAAAGTATTTCAGATTTACTGAAGTCTAAATAACAAGCTTCGGACAAAAAGATTCGAGGAGGCTTCCAAACGAACTCGTGGCTCTCCCCCGTTTCTGTTTTCAATTAAAGCCGGAAATGAAGCGTGGATATCCGCGCAGGCCAGGCTTCGAGAATCCTCGATTCCACCAACTGCGTTTGCAAACGCAGACGTCGAAGAAACACGGGAAAAAATTCAGGTTTCAGACCGTAGAAAATAAAGAACCGGCTTGTTGATTATTCTCGTATTTTCAACATTTATTACGCGATCAAAAAATATGTTATTAGAATGTATCAAACTTAAAGGGAATGAACCCAACTCAACAAACAAGTAGCTACGAGTAAAAATTCAACAAAATTCCAACATTCGAAAAACTGTATTTCTTAAACAAATTCGAGAGCATGATTTGCACATCACGTTAAAATTATTATTTACGAGAAACCTCTGAATAATTACGTGAAAAAGCGCTCCATCTGTCATGGAATGTTCAATACCATGTATTATATTATTTCGCTTAATCCTCTTAAGCTCGTGTTACGTGTACGCAAAATGGTACTCTTACGAGTTCTTAACAAAACAATAGAGACATTCGTTTTCAACGAAACCAGTTATCACCATTTGTAATTAATCTAGATCGTTGACGATTCGACAGGACTTCGCTCTTTAATTCCTTTTCTCGGAACTTTTCCTTTCGCTGAGGAAATTGCCAAACGCAATCAAGACAAATATCAAATTCGAACAGGCGAAGAATCAAAGAAATAACATCTCTGCTTTAACATCGACGATAACGAGATCGTCGTTCGCTTTAACCGGAAGTTTTCGTTCGCTTGTTGACATTGTCACGTCGTTCCCGTCAGTACGACCCGTCGAAAGGATACACTCTGCTTTATACTATATTTTCCATGGTGTATACGAGGCCACACGTAGCTAGCAGGATAAACTGTGTGTACGGGCACGACGAAAGAACCGGTGCATCCGGCTCTGCGGAATCGCGCCATGTTGCATCCGGACGAGACGTTGTCGTGACACTCTGTCCCCGGGTGTCGTTAAAACAAACCGTGTCGACATGCCACGCTGATTCGTATTCCAGCTCTACGACAACGCGACCTGTCGCGTTTCCGTTTCGACATCGGTCTTTCAGCCTTCCAGAGGGTGATAAATTACTAACCACCAAGAACATGTATACTTGATATTGATATCGATGTTGTTCAACGAATCGTGGCTTATGGACAATGTTTTCGTAAGCTTGTTACAATATATATGGTGTTCAACACGTATTACGTGTCACTGGAATGCTCAACGATGCTTTGGGAGTATTTTTTCTATAAATGAATTTTGCTTTATTCGCGAGAATAATTAGAATTTCGGAATCTGATGAAAAATTAGTGAGAAACTAATAATTTGCAATATCATTTTAACACTTCTATAGACAGGTATTATTGATAACACAAAATGTCACATTAATAGGTGCGTTTTAAACGAAATGGTGTCATAGAGGGTTTCTTCCCTATTTTTTTATCTTGTTTATATGCTTTATATTTTGACAGATTTGACAACTGACATCCTAATCTTACAGTCTTCGACAAGAAATTGTATACTATTTTAATATCTAATCTTGAAAACATCTTTACACGTTTATTTATCTAACATTCACTTTATCTAATCATTGGTAGAGCTGACAATTGTAATACTTTTAAAGTGTGGGAGGCTTTAATACCTCAAAACTGTTCACTCTAACATTACGAATTTAAATTAAATTCATCTTTTCGTTAAATTTCAGCCAGAAGATCATTAAAAATATAATATTTATCGTGTTTCTGTCGTGTCAACTCAAAAGGGCGTATCTGTAACTTTCGTGTAAATCGAGTCATTGCTGCCAAGTAGCACAAAAGTAATTCATTTATATGTTTATTAAATAAGAAATTTATATCTCGAGCGTGTATGATATCGATGTCTGGTTGTTAAATACTAAACGTAATTTTTTCAAATCTACCTTTCAATCAGATACGCCTATTTCAATTAACACGTGAGATATACTCCAATGGTCTTCAATTTTAATAGTTCGATATTCCGAATGCCAAAAAAGCATATATTTCATATAGTAAAATATATATCTTTCCTACATGCTGTTCGATTTTAACAAATCGATATTCCGTGTACGAAAATAAAAACATACCTGTCATATCGAAAACGATTTCCTTAACAGTCGAGAGTAAAATATTGCTATCGTGTGAAATATTTTTTAGAACTTGTCCGCGTTGTTCGATATCGGTTGTATACACCAGGAAATATGC